ATGTTGAATTTTTATCAGTATTTTTGCCTTTAGGAGTTTATCTTGAAAACTACAATAGACAGAGAGAAAATTATCAGCAAGAAAAGATCTACAAAAATTAAAGTGAAACATGACAGAAATTTTCAATCAACTCCTAATAGGAGTTATTGTCCTTGAATGACAATGTTTGACCATTTTAAGAGTGTGTTGCAATTATCTTGAAACTATAATAGAAACAGAAACTGCAAACAGTAAAAATGACCAGCAAAACAAGATCTACAAATAAGTCAACTCAACATGCATGAAATTGTCAATTGACTCTGTATAGGAGTTATAGCCCTTGAAACACAAGTTTGTCATTTTTTTGCATTTATGGCAAATTTCTTGATAAAAGAATAGATACTGTAAACAGCAAATAGTGTCAGCAAGATAAGATCTACAAACTGTCAATCTACACCTGATCAGAATTATTGCCAACAATATATGTTTGTTATCCCTGTTTGGCTATTTTCTCCAAAATGGTCAGCAAATAAGATCTATAAATAAGTCCACATGACCAACATCATCAATTAACTCCTTGTAGGAGTTATAACATATCCTTGTAGGAGTTAAAACATATCCTTGTAGGAGTTATAACATATCCTTTTAGGAAATTTTTACTAATTTAATTATTGCATTATTGGATATTGTCTTGATGTGATCTTATTAAAAATGTAGCTTAATTACTTCTGCTTTAAGGTAGCACTACATGTACAGTCTAACAATGATTTTTTGGAGATATTTTTTTTATCACATAATTTTAAAGTAAGTATCATCCTGCACATTTTGTAAAAATCCCAAAGTCATTATCATATCACAACAGGGAGTAAATTGATAATGAACTTATGTAAATAAAAGCACATGATAATTATTCTAAATATATGGGCATTTGGGAGGGGCTACTATGTCAATCATCTGTTGATAATAGTGTCCAGCTGTTAATCCCTGACCACAAGATAAATATTGTGGTCTTATGTCATTGTATTGCAACAAAAGTAATTTATATAACCCTGGAAGTAAACAGAGAAAAGGAAAAAGATATGAAAAGGAAAAAATCTAGAAGGAAAAAATCTACAAAAATGAAAAAAACTATGGATAAGAGTGTGAAAGTATCTTTGAAAGCCTCTGACAAAGGTTCTTACTACAAACAAGAAGAATATGTCTCTGAATCTTCTACATTTAAATGATGAGCGTGTCTTCTGTTAGGAGTTTTAGGCATTTTAACCAATTTTAAGTTTATGTGAATTTTTTCAATTCCGTAAAACTAAAAAGTCATCTGGGACATTCTATTTTCAGGAAGGGCTTGATCTTTTTATGAACATATCTTTTATTGCATAATTTTAATGTTCTTGCTAATTTCATAGTATATTTCTTTTTAAAATACTAAAGAAAATTATTCTTTATAGTGTGATGATATTAAATACTGACCTGTTATTCTCTTATCTTAGACTGTCTGGACAGAGGCGGAGCTTTGTCTATATTTCATTACTACATTACAGATGTTGGTCAAATCTGTGACGTAAAACTCCCGCCAAATGCCAAGTTAGTGTTGGACAGTGCACACATAATGCAAAATTTACAGTCTAAGAGTATCAAAGACACAAACTGTGTGGTTCTATTGTTTAAATAATTGTGTCAGAACACTCCTGGGGTGTTCCCAGTGGAAGTTTTAACCGGATTTTCGAAGGAAATATTGGTTATTAAAATGGTGATGTAAGCGGGCGGCTGGGTGGTTCTACGGGCGGCTGCCAAACAGTGTCAGCACAATAACATGAAAACGCTTAAACAAATTTTTTTCAAATTTAAATATGTTGTTTCCTGGGACTTAATGAAGGTCTAGTTCAATTTTCAAGATATTAGTATATCTCCTTTGTGAGTTATCGCCATTTTTAATATCCAAAAGTGGAATTTTTAAATATTTTACTCTTGTTATCTTTTTTATGACTAAGCATAATGTCTTATCTCACAATAAAAATTGGAGTGACAGATTTATTTGAAAATTATCTATTTCCTAAGTGGTAATGATTATAAGCTATATTATTAGACATTTTTACATTATTAATTATTAATTATTAATTAGATCCGGGTTATATCTTAGCATATAATATCATTGGAGTGACAGATTTATTTGAAAAGTTGGAAGACCACTTTTTTGGCAATTAATGAGCTATATTTTTAAATTAATCATACCAAAAATAAATTTATCTATAGATTAATAAAGAGTAATATTTCAGCTTTAAAATGAATTAAAGATTTTAAAAATCCATTGAGTAGTTTTGGAGAAATTAATCTTTAAAGACTGTTGGTTGGAGTCAGAAAATTCTGACTGTAGTGCTACCTTAAGATTGAAGGCCAGTCTTATCAACATGATTACAAGATCACATGAAAGTTCATCAGTACAGATGAAGATTAATTGTGAACAAGTAAAGGATGCTTATAGTGCTACCTTAAGATTGAAGGCCAGTCTTATCACCATGATGACAAGATCACATGATAGTTCATCAGTACAGATGAAGATTAATTGTCAACAAGTTAAGGATGCTTATAACATTTAGGCATTCAAATTCTGAAAAAAATTAGCCTTTCCTGACAGTCTGGTGCATGAGACAAATGCTTTGGGTATCACTTGTCATGTTATATCCAGGTTGAAATGGACCTTATTGACCACAGCACAATGCGTTGTGGGGGACATTAGAAATATCAGGTGTCCTTTTTTCCTGTCTTGTTAGCGCTCTCACATGTACAACACTTGCTAGATTTTTATTAAACTTATATCATAGGTCTATATCATCATTGTCTTGAACAAGTTTGAAAATCAGTGCCAATCAACAACTCTTAAAAGAGTTTTTATGCCTTTTGGAAATATAAATTAAAATGGAAAATTGCATTGTTAGCACTTAATTTTTTATGTATACAATTCTTCCCAGATGTTTATGAAACTTATATCATAGGTTTATATCAGCAATATCTCAGACAAGTTTGAAAATCAGTGCCGATCTATTATTTTTAAAAGAGTTATGCCCCTTGGAAATTATATTTTATTAAAAATCTCATTGTAAGTGCTCTAACATGTACTCCCCCCAAGGGTGACTGGGGAATAGAAGTATGGTCACCATTGGTCTTCCTCTGGCCGGCAGTAAAACCCTTGCTAAAGTGGGGTGTCCGTTTGGCTGTGCAGGATGTACAAATTTGCAGCCACGTCCGGTCAGAATGGGGATGTTAAATCAGATGCCTCGTGTAGAGAGAGTGCCACGCTCTTTGCACGTTAAGAACCCTTGCAACAACTCTTTGAGGGGTCCGTAGGCGACCTGTTGCAAGGCAAAATTTCTGTCCCTATCCAATATACCCTCAATTCCCTTGGCAGTCTAAATTTCTCCGACCTTAATCCCGGATGCCCCTCTTACAGAACCTATACCTATTGTATTTATTGTTAATTTGTTCTCGTCCTGAATATGCATGAAATATTTGCCACTGGACATTAAGCAACCAACAATCAATCAATCAATCTAACATGTACAATTTTTGCCAGATTTTTATCAAATTTATATCAAAAGTTTAAATCAGTAATGTCTTAGATGTCTGTTTTTTTTTTAAAGAGTTATGGCCCTTGGAAATATCATAATATGGGAAATTGAATTGCATTTGCTCTCAAGCTTTCGAATATATATTCATGTCTCTTATAAGATATTTATAAAAAAAATTAATGAACAAATTAAAAAATTTTTTTTTGGAAGAGAGGATCTTTTTGTGGCCACTGTAAACAGGGAAATTTTTGTATCAGTTTTATTTTCGCATTGAGAGTTGAAACGCGAAAATTAAACTTTCGCAAATTTTTCAAGGAAAACCAATTCAAAGCATGAATACCATTGCATGAACACCAGAGAATATTACCGGGGCAATTTATGAGGGTCTGGATGGGGGTCCTTCATTTCTGTATTCTTTAATTTTTTACGTCATTTTTCTCCATTTTTCATATATTTTGCCCATTATTCTTTTCTTAATATTTTAGCAACCCATATTCTCTATTCTTTATTTTTTTGGCCCATTTTTCTCTATTTTATTTTTCTGCACATTCTGTAGCAATGGTCCATTATTCTCTATTCTGTAAACCCCATCCAGACCCTCATCTATAACAACAGTTTTACGCACAACAGATCTATATCACAAATTAATACTTTATTTCTAAATAAATGTAGTGTTAAAAATCAAAACCTTTAAGTCATAACAGTCGAATTAAAATGAAAGGCATCTCAAGCAAGCATGAATAATTGATATTGTTATATAAACAACACTGGTAACAGCTAGGTAAATGACACCAGTCAATAAGTTTTAGATATTTACCACATTGTTTCTGATGCACCAAAAGATTAATTGGCTGTTATTCTTGCAGCTTCTAATTCACTCTTTTTTCCGCAATTCTTATATGTTGATTAATATTGTTTATGTGTTTTTAAAAGCAAACATAAATGTAGTGATTTAAATAAACTTAAGTCAAATCACTTTGAATCTACATGTGCATAAATGAACCGAGGATAACATTCACTTTGTTCAGATAAAAAGGATTTCTGATCAATTTTCAACAGTTAATTTATGATACATATACAACTGTTCTGTTTCAAAATCCTTTATCAAAATTTGTGTAGAACCCCATCAATTGCGAATTCAAAACGGTGGGAATTAAGAATCAGTTGGTAAATCGCGAAATAAAGACAGGGCTACAATTTTCTAGTTCACAGTATGTTAACTTTCTGTTATAAACAATGAAAAAAATTTTGATATAATTGTGATATTTTTGATATTATTTCATAATACATGTATGTAGATCAACATTAATGAAATGTTATAGGGCTCATGCAGTGCACAAAATAGTGGAAAAGCTTTTATTAGACATGGCAGCAACTGTTGTATATAAGATATAAATGTCCGTTATATATAATGTGCAAGTTAAGCTTTAGAAATCATGCAATTTTTTTTATTTGTAGATGATGTCTGACAATGGAGATTCTTTGAATTCACCACCAGATATAAAACCACATTTGAATTGTGGACAGGATGACACTTCCGAGGATAATTCTAATGCCGGAGAATACACATCACCCGGAAGTGTCAAATCAGAAACTTCCCCTGGTAAAGGACGGGGCAGAAGAGCAAAAGATGACAAAAGCTGTCGTGTCTGTGGTGACAAAGCCTTGGGTTACAATTTCAATGCTGTTACTTGTGAAAGCTGTAAAGCATTTTTTAGAAGAAATGCTTTAAAAGACCAGGTATAGTTAATATATATATATATAAAATGGTATGTAATAATATCCTATGGTCTGAACTTGCTTTTATAGTCTTCTGAACATTGTTGAAGCCATGAAAGACAAATTAGTGGACTTTCTTTTTTTTTTAACAAAATGGAAATAATAATTTTTTGCCAATTTCAGCATTTTTGCCTATTGTAAAGTTTAACAGTAAAACTATCTCTATAACAGACCCTTCTCCTAGTTGTCATGTCCTTTTATATATATACTGGACAAATCATAAAGTTTGCCCATCTGTCTTTAAACAAATATTAACCTTATAATATGGACACCCCTTAAAACTGGATATTAGGCATTATTTGTTTTGGATCACCTTAAAAAACTGACCACCTCATCTGAAATCACCAAAGTCATCTAGCAATGATCGGATGCCTAGATGTCAAGTTTATTTGAACACCCCAAAGCTAAGCAACCATGGACAGATTATGTATTCCCTTGCTTGTTAATGTTTCATTTAAAAAAAGTTAGCTTGCATGCTTTTGATCAATTCATTCAGGTAAGACAATGTAAGAAATCACATTAAATTGATATGATATTAATCACAAGTTATGGTGTGTTTCATGATAAGTATTACATGTACCGGGTATATACATATATTTAAAATATCACTTGTAGGAAAACTAAAACATTAATGTTGGTAATAAACCTACTTCAGACAATTATACAAACAAATTGAAGGGAAGCAGCTCTTGTAAATTTCAATTTTTATCAAAGCACCTTTATTGTTAAAAGCTATCTTCTTCTCCAAATAACAATGATGCTTTATTTTTTCAATGCTGTTAAACTCAATTTTCCTTCAAAATATCTTTTATAACATATACTGTTTAATCCAGAGAAATATATTGCTTTGAGGGTCACCTTTAAATTTCCAAACAAAAATATCTTGTATAAAAGGTCTGCAAATACCATTCTGCAGAAACCAGTTTTCAGTTTGCTCAATGAATTGTTGTACACATAATCACATTCCCAGAATATATGCTCAATTGTTTCCAATTCAGTCTCATAAAAAGTACAATATAGGTTTTGAACTATCCCTAGTTTGTTTGAAAACTTTTTTGTTGCTCGAATTCTATGATTTATCCTATACGGAAGCCATTGTAGCTTATATTTTGTGTTTTTTGTTATGACAAATAGTAATTGAAAAATCTTTTTCCAGTTTTGATCATCTTATTGCCAAGCTTATATTGCCTCCCATCTTTTTACTCCTGAGGAAATAGTGTTGTTTTTGTTAAGCACAACATAGAGTTCTTTAGATATCCTTTGGCTTTTGAGAATGGTCTTTATAGCTGATGGAATGAAAGGAGATACTAATTTATAATTTCCCGTACTAAATAGAAATTGTGCTATAATATTTCATGATTATGATGTTGTCTAAATTCATTTGAAAACATTCCTGAAACTGATAAATGTTTAGCAATGTACCTTTCTCATCTACAATATCATTTACATGTAGAATACCTTTACTATGCCCGTCTTTGAAAAATGCATATTTGCAGATTATTCATCCAAATCATGCAAATTGGACTGGAAAGAAAATATTCCCAGTTTTGTAAATTCATTTCTTTGTCAGTTACCATTTGCCAAGTACCCAGTACAATAGTAACATCTTTCCAAAATTTGTTCTTTATACTTTGGTGTAGTTACTTTATACAGAGCTTTGTCGCTATACAGCCTGTTTGTGTTGAGGCAGCGTAAAGCAACCACCAATCAATCAATTTATATAGAGCTGTTTTACCAGAACCTAAAAATCTATCTTTATCAACATATGACAAAAATGTATTTCGCCATTTACAATCATTTCAAAAAATCCTCTTGATCTAAGTACATTTCAGTGCATTTATAAAAAAATTTAAATTAATCAATTTAAGGCATCCATTACAATTATCTTTTTGTAGTACATGTACATATACATCTTTTTTCACTCTATGGCATGGTGAGTTCCAAATTAATTTATACAAAAGTTCATTTATCTGCTTAGCAATATCTTCACTTGGATGAGGAAATGACAATATCAAATGATTTAGAATTGGCAACATCAGTGTCTTCATAATAGTGATTCTACCAGTAACCGTTACATTAGGTCTAGACCAACTGACTGACTGTTGAATTAATGTTTTATAGAGCACTTTTATCTAATTTATAATCATGATAATATGGAATGACCAAAATTGAAAATCTTCAGTATACTCCCATGAAATGGAACAAAGGCTTTTTCAAATTCTATCAACAATATAAGGCATGGAGTATCTTTATCTTCAGTATATTCCATGATATCATATACTGTAAATTAAGAAATTATTGCGTTCATTTATTATTGCGATTTTTGAAGAATTGACAAAAATGCAAGAATATTAATTGGGATTTCAGGAAAATCTGCATACAAATATATGTATCGAATTCAGAATACATCTTATTTTTGCGATGCTCACACAATCGCACTATTGACATTTACAAAAAATGGACAAAAATCTTGCAATAATTTCTGAATTTACAGTATCAATCTTAGATTTTCCCCAATATATCTTCCATTTATAAAACCTGTCTGGTCAGTACATGTATCAATAAGTTTAGTCAAAACTGTTCTAAATCTTCTAGGTTATTACCTCAGAGCCAAATTCATATATAGTATTCACAAAGATATAGGGCACCAGTCTTTTTTTATTAAAGTGTCTAACCTTGTTACTGTTTGAAAGATTTGTTTCTGAGTAACAGAAAGTTCCCCTTATCATAACCTGTGCTCAAAGATCTTACAACAAAATATTATTAAGTCAGACTAGAACATTTTTTTTTAAATTACTTGAAAACCTATCTGATCCAGGCTTTTTATTGCTTTTCTTACTTTTTAAAGTTTTACTAGCTTCAGTTGCTGATATTTCACCTTCTAAACTTATTTTTATCATCTATGGATAAATATCTTAACATTTTGTAGACTATTTTCAATATCTTCAAGTTTACAACTTTTCACACTTATGTTTGTTTACAAATTTTCATAAAATATTCTTACCTGGTTAAGTATCTCATTCTGGTTAGTAACAATATCACTATTTTCTTTTTCAACCTTTTAAATAATCTTGCAAGTAAAATTCCTAGATTCTAGTCTACAGACAAACTTGGATGTTTTTTTTTCCGTCATCTATCCATTATTCTTTGGATAGAACAATTTCACCATGCATTTTTCTCCTGTGTCAACATTTCTAATTCAGTTTTTTGTCTTCCAATTGCTGAATAGTACCTGAGTTTACATTGTTTTTAAATAAAAATTTCTTCTCTTAATGTTTTTTCCCTTTTTTTCTCTTTCCTTTTTTTTTAAACTAGAGTATGAGATCATTATACCCCTCACCTCCAGCAATCTAGTTTCGAAAAAAAGATTACTATTAATTGTAAATGAAGATCTTCATTATTTACTTTATTGATATTGTCCAAATTATATACCCAGGCTGCATGCTGTTTTTTACATCCAAGATTTTTATCCCCTTGATAGCATTAACTTAGTCAGCCAGGTGCGGATGCAGGATTTTGAAAAAGGGGACCCTAGAAAGCCAGTTGGAGTGATACTAGTAAACAGTCTATGCATTTATCATATATGTAGCTCCATAAAGGGAGCACAGGCAGCTTGGACTCCCCTCCGTATCTGTGGGACAGCATCATCATGATCATCCAATAAAGAAGTTTTGCACGTTCATAAACCTTTTACCCTAAAATGCTTTTTCTTAGAATAATTCTTTTGGCAATGCAATATAATGTGCTTATAGGGTCAGTCGGAAGGCATGAAACATAATTATTTGTTTTGGCCTTAACTTATGCCCCGATGACACAAATATCACCCTTTGATTTCCAGTGTCTACAAATATAGTCCCTTGTGTGGACAATGCATTACTTGCCGATATTTTCATACAACTTTCCAATTCATTTCATTATGTTTGATGTCTCAAATAGCAAGTACTAGTAGAGGGATGAAATTTCAAACTAAAATTTTTGAAGGTAAAGTAGTGATTTGGTCCAGTTGAAAAAGGGAAAAATTAATATATCTGAAGCTGTCAATTAAACTGAATTCAAGACCCCCTCAACATAACATTGTTCATAGTTTGAGTTTGAGCTGGTGAAGTTTTCTATAATTCTGATATATTTTGTCCCAAAAGTAGTACAGCACACTGTAAAAATATTATCGTGAATTAAAGCACTGATGAGATTTTTTTAATTTGCATATATTGTTCAAAAGAAATGCACTAAAATTAATTGTGTTATTGGGCCTAAGAGATGAATTCAGTTAAAACAGAATCTGTACTTTGGCAACTACCCTGTATGGGTTAATAATGGCATTAATTTATCAAACTGCATGAAAGTAGAGGATTAACACTTTTATTTGATAGAAATGCTGTAAATATGTTCTTTTTTGGTATTTTATTTTAATTTTTAAGCCGTTTCCATTGTTATTCCCAAGTGGCATGCTGACTTTCTATCTGGCAGGTTTTCATCTTTTGATATTTGTGTTTCTAGGCTTATATCAAGAATTGTGTCTAGAGAAAAATAGTTTATCACAGAAAAATGTGAAAAATGTGTTGTTTTTATAGTCCAGGTCATACGACCTGTTAGAAACAAATAAAATGTGTTAAGATCTACCTACTTTCCGTTTACATCAAAACTGTCAGGCAACTTCTTACAGGAGTTATTGCCCTTAAATGAAGAATTTTACCAACGTTTTTTTAATTTTGCTTATAAATATTTTGAAACTATAATAGATAGAGACAAACTTAAAATGTCAAAAATGATCAGCAAGACAAGATCTACAAATAAGTTAATGTTGGTGAAATAGTCAGTTGACCTTATTGGAGTTCTTGCTCTAAAAGACGATTTTACCATTTTTTTGGCGTTTTTATACGTCCGTTTACGGGACGTATTATGGTAAACTGTTGCCCATCAGTCCGTCCGTCCATCCGTCTGTCCGTCGTCAACATGTCAGACAATAACTCAAAAACGCTTGAAGCAATTCGCATGAAACTTTGGTGAATTGTTTATATCTATTGACGTGAGCTCCCTTTCTTTTTTTATAAATTTAAGATTTTAAGTTTCAGAGTTTTGGGGTTTTTTTTCATTAAAAAAGGGGGATTTTCCAATTTTCTGACAATAACTCAAAAACATTTTCACCAATTTGCAAGAAACTTTGGTGAATTGTTTATATGTATTGCCTTGAGCTCCCTTTCAATTTTTATAAATTTAAGATTTTGCATTTCCGAGTTATGGGGTTTTATTCATTAAAAAAAGTTGGGGTTTTCCAGTTTTCGGACAATAACTCAAAAATACTTTCAGCAGTTTTCATGAAACTTTGGTGAATTGTTTATATCTATTGACGTAAGCTCCCTTTCAATTTTTATAAATTTTAGATTTTACGTTTCGAAGTTATGTGATTGTATTCATAAAAAAGGGGGTATTTTTCAGTTTTCGGTCAATGCTTTGAGCAGTTATCATGAAACTTTGATGACTGGTTTATATCTAATAAGATAACCTCCCTTTAGTTTTTCATGAATTTCTGATTCTTTATTCTTTGAAAAAGCGACGGGCGTATTATGCGCTCATGGTGCAGCTGTTTATTGCCCATTATCTGCCAATAGGTCAAATTTAACCGAAATTGTAAATAGATTCTTTAATACGTTGTATAAGAGTGATTAATTGTCCTTAAATGACAATTTTGGGTTTTGGGCAAATACTGAACACTGCTAAAGAAGATAAGGAGAACTGTAAACAGAATATGATCAGCAATACAAGATCATCAAAAAAGAGATTTTTGTCTTGAATTCTATTCTAGTCTACAATGTTTAGGTATGTCCATTGTTGAAGATGCACTTAGACCTAGGTGAGCAACACAGACTATTTAGAGCCTCTAGTTTTTTTGTCTTCATGAGTGATTGCATATATCAATTGATCATTTAGGAAGTAGTTATATACATGTATATATATATATAGTGTCTAAAAATAGCAACAATCAACATTCAATCTATCTAGGCGTGGATCAGTTTGTAAATAAACTGATGCAGTTACTACATTAGATTATATAAGTGCCTAAGAATGTAACTTTAACACACTAATGAGTGTTATAAAATTAGTTGTTATATTTTATATTATTCACGCTATTCGCTAAACAAATTAGCTTCATCAGGCGTGTGCAGCCATCCAGGTAAAAGTTAGAGGCTGTAAAGAAATTTTTGCAGCTCAATGTTAAATGTCTAGAAAAAATATTTTTGCCGCTTATTGTACATAGCAATTCTTAAATCAAAACAAATAGTTGTTTTAGTTAAATAGAATGAAGTTCAGGATTTATTCCTTTGGTTTTGGGTAGAACTGTTTTTCATCTCTCTCATTAAGTCCATCAGGTTCAAGAGTACGTAGCTGATGCATTCAGAACCTTTCTCTCTGTTTTCTCCTTTGGGAGTACCAATTTTGGTTTACCTCAATTATTTGAAAGGTGATATTTTCAAAAGTATGCCCTGTTCTTAAGAGGTGTCTCGTAATTGGACAGTTTCTTCCTTTTGTATAAAAAGACCGGTGATTGTTAAGTCTGATGTTGAATTTCGTTTCTGTTTCACCAACATACTGCAGCTTGCAAGTTCCACAAGTAAGAATATAAATACTATTTTCCGTTTTGCAATTAGATGTAACATAGATGTTGTATCGCTGCTTTGTTACTGTGCTGCTGAAAGAGTGGTCAGTGTTGGCGACTTTACAGCACTAACAATTGGTTCTTCCGCATTGTTTGTAACACCCAATTTTAGAAGTCTCTTGTTTCTTTACTTCAGATGTGACAAGTATGTCTTTGAGATTTTTGGGTCTGCGATAGGCAATAACAGGAGGTAATGGAAAAATTTCTTTTAAAGAAGAGTCATTTTCGATAAGACGCCTGTGCTTGCGGATAGTAGATGAAATATTTGTCAAATCGGGATGGAAGGTGACAACAAACGGAATTCTATCTGCATGGGTCGTCTTATCTTTGTATTCCATGAGGATATCTCGATCTTTTTCTTGGGCTTTATCAAAAAAACGTCTGTGATGTTTTTGGTTTTGTATCCTCTTGATTTTTTTTTAGTTGTCCCAAACGATAGTTGAGTTTGGATTCCGAGGAGCAAATTCGCTTTAGTCTGATGGCTTGACTGTAAGGTATGCTCCTGGAGCTGTATATATATATATATATATATATAAGTCTAAATTGAAAACAACGTTCAAACCTATGATTGCGTTGGATAAAATTCGCAATTTTTATACGTGTGCATGCAAAACAAATTTCTTGTTAGAGGGGTCTAAAAACAGCACAAACAACATTTTCCAAAAGTCCAAAAAGTGAAAAAGTATATTTTAACAAAATGCATTTGACTAACAGGTCGAACAACAAATGTTCTTAAACCCTGCTGACTGCCATTGGCGATTGCCAAATAAACAGATCACCGATGTAATAAATGGATCTTAATTATAGATTTAATACTAAACAGAAAACAATAAACTTGCGGAAAAGATGGTATACTGCAAACAAAAGGTGCAATGGTTTTTGTACACCATATCCAGATTTCGACAATTAATGTCTTTTCAGTGATGTTAGGAATCGAAACGGTATTTGGAAAGCCATACAATTTACCTCAATTTGACATCTTACTGATGAAGGATATTAGTTATCCGAAATATTTAACATTTGTTTATGATTTTATTTTTTTTGGTGATGTTGTACCCTTTTAGACTTGCTTATTATATATATATATAAGGTCTACATTGAAATAGGACAGAAGATTCGTAGACTTTATTGGAGCAGTGGGCTTTTAAGAAAATTTACCATGTGACAAGGAAAGCTTGTATCATTACTATGTAATTGCATTTGTTTGCAATAAGTAGGATCAACAGAACTGTCTAAGTCTAGTTTACAAATGGACATACTGCTACTATAATGCTAAAATGCCAAGTAAATATACATAATTTGCTGTGTTTGAAGTGCTTTCTGGGCTTACCTTTAGCCAAAATACTTGAGTCAAAATTTTAGAAAGTTATAAAAGGCATGTTGAGCTATAGAGAAAATTTATTAATATCACAACTTCCCAAAATGTTCACTGTGCATGTTTTTCAGGACACTAAATTGAATTAAGAATTGATTGTTTGATGTTGAACTTAATACAAAAATGTAATAAACATGATTCAGGGGTTACAAGTATAATATAAAATGGGTGACTGAAAACCTCAGTGAGTTGTTTGCTTATTGTTGAAGGTTGTACTGTCACCAGTAGTTGATCACATCCACCTTGTCCCTTTGGTCTGTGTAGATAATAGTTTCATTGGTAATCATGCCACATTTCCTTATTTTAATATTAACTACTGTGGATTCGTTTATTTTTGTGGAAACCAATTTTCAGGGATTTAGGAAAAATTGTAATTCAGCGATATTTAAAATTGTGGTTTGCCAAAGTCTGCATACAACACTACAGAAAATATGTAATTTGTTGAACTTTTAAATATGTGATTAACCTTCGAAATGCTCAAAAATTGGTATCCCTAGAATAAGAATGAATCCACAGTAATCAAGAAATATCCAAGGAAAACGATTTTAATCAATGCTTATTTTAACCTTTCAGACCACCAAATGTTTGTTTCAAGGGAACTGTTTTATTGATATAAGAACACGACGATTCTGTCCACACTGTCGATTGAAGAAATGTTTTGACATTGGAATGAGAAAAGAAATGATTCTTGGTAAGTATTTTTGTCTAAACTGCAGTTGAAGTTACAAATTGCAAGGCATTTAGGTGCTTTTTATAGCGGTCGTATATTGGTATGACGTTGGTGTCATCGTCGTCGTCCGAAGACACATTGGTTATCGCACTCTAACTTTAGTTAAAGTAAATGGATCTCTATGAAATTTTCCATAAGGTTCAATACCACAAAAGGAATGTTGGGATTGATTTTGGGGGTTATGGTACCAACAGTTAAGGAATTAGGGGCCAAAAATAAACATTTTTGTAACTTCCAAACAAACTTGTGTGTTAGTGTATGGATCTCTCTGACATTGTACCACAAGGTTCCATATCACAAAGGGAATGCTGGGATTGATTTTGGGGGTAATTGCCTCAAAATTTTAGGAATTAGGGGCCAATAAAGGGGCAAAAAACAAGCATTTTTCTAGTTTCATGATAATAACTTGTGTGTAAGTGTATGGATCTTTCTGAAATTGTACTACAAGGTTCCATATCACAAAGAGAAAGCTGGAATTGAGTTTGGAGGTAATTGCCCAAAATGTTTAGGAATAAGGGGCCAAAAAGGGGCCAAAAATAAGCATTTTTCTAGTTTCCAGACAATAACTTGTGTTCAAGTGTATGGATCTCTCTGAAATTGTACGCAAGGTACCATACCACAAAGGGAAGGCTGGGATTGATTTTGGGGGTAATTGCCTCAAAATTTTAGGAATTAAGGGCCAAAAAAGGGGCAAAAAACAAGCATTTTTCTAGTTTCATGACAATAACTTGTGTGTAAGTGTATGGATCTTTATGAAATTGTACTACAAGGTTCCATATCACAAAGGGAAAGCTCGGTTTGAGTTTGGGTTTTATTGCCCTAAACGTTTAGGAATTTGGGGCCAAAAAGGGACCTAAAAACAAGCATTTTTCTAGTTTCCAGACAATAACTTGTGTTCAAGTGTATGGATCTCTCTGAAATTGTACTGCAAGTTACCATACCACAAAGGGAAGGCTGGGATTGAGTTTGGGGGTGATGAATCATGAGGGGGTTCAAAAAATTTGGGGGAGGGATTTTTTTTTCCTTTTTATTTTCCTTTTTTTTTCTTTAAAATTTTCCGTTTTAAATAGGTTATTTTTTATTTATATATGAAAGCAAATAATAATGATATGGTTTGAATAGGTAAATTAAAATTTTTTAAGTTCTTAGACCACATTCATTCTGTGTCAGAAACCTATGCTGTGTCAAATATTGAATCACAATCCAAATTCAGTGCTGTATCAAGCTTGAATGTTGTGTCCATACTTGCCCCAACTGTTCAGGGTTCGACCTCTGCTGTCGTATCAAGCTGCGCCCAGCTGAGCATTTTATTATGGTGGCTATCGATATGCCAACAGTTGTGAAAGCTATATCTCTTTTTTCCTCTTTAAACCAGATTGTTAGTGTTAACAATATTTCATTGTGAAAATAATAACATAAGCTTTACAAATATGACAGTTTAATTTTTATAAATTTACATATAATATTTATTGCGGGGTATTATAAGTTAGCAATACCTCACAGTTCAACTTGTGGGTGCACTTCTTTATGGATTTATTCTAAAAAGGGGGACTACATTTTTATGTAGGATGTAGAATGATGTGACTGCCACATGCTGAAAATCGAAAGGTTTAAAAAATATTTATTAAAGGTTAGAATAGATACAGTAATGTTTTGGATGAAATTTCTGATCTCTTAAAAACCATAAAAAATTACAGCATATTTGTTTAAAATAATAGGACTGGCTTTCACCTGATTTCAGTCTTTCATATACATGTAGTTCAAATTCAAATTTTTACACTTTATTGTCATATAAATCATGATCAACTTATATGCTGATAGTGATTAAAACAAACAAAACATAGTATGATATAAATGGCAAGAAGAAAGCATGTGTAATTATAATAAACTAATTAATACATATATATATATATATATATAGTTTGATAGCTTATAATTCAATTTTGAGTCCCCTTAGTACTGATGACTGCTTTATAAAGGAACCTATGCTTTCTACTTGTTTTTGTGTTGATAGGCAGAGAATACATTTCATTTTAGCATCATGATTTAAGTCATTGTTATTTTTTAATACAATTTGCCTCAATCAATTTTATGATAAAAGCTGGTCCTATGTGGAGTTTTTCCTGCAATACAAAAGAAAAAGGTTTCTCATCCTCATTTATATTGCAGGACTGACACAACTGGTTTTCCCTTTGAAAATTTAGGTGTCTCCCTTTTTCAATCAGTAAGTTATGACCCCGTTCACACTAGGACATTTAGATCCATTTAAACTAGATCGGTTCACTTTAGATCGGTTTAAGGGCTAATGTGAACGCTTTGAATAGATCTTTAATCGGTCTAAACTAAAACACCAAAAGAGGTAGTTTAGTTTGAATCGATCTAAAGTGAACCGATCTAACTTTAAATGTGAATGCAAAGATCGGTTTAAACTAGTACGATTGAATCGAAAATAATTTATGCGCATGTATAGTGGCAAAACTACACGTATAATAACATAACATCCCTGTATATATCAGTGGTTCGTTGTTTAACCCATATTTCTCTGTTAACAGACCTTTGTGTACATGCAAGTAAAAACAAACAGAAAAGGTTGTCTTCGCCATAGCATAAATTTGCGAAATCTGTGTCTTCTTTTCTTCTGTTGTTTTTGTTTTTTTCTTTTCAGGAACCACAGCATTTTTTAATGTTGTAACTTTCTTGCTACAGTTTTTTGTTTCAAAATTAATGAAAACTGCAAGAACACCAGTATCAAAATTTGAACTTGTGATTCAAGAGAAACAATAACTTCATCCATTGTTGTACACATCAGTGTACCAACACATAAATTTGATTGATTATTTCTATTTATACACAATGTTTGCAGTTTTACAGGTAATTAGGTCAGATCGTTTGCATTTTTAATTGTAGTGTGAACGCAGTGGTTCAGATTAGACCAATAGAGATCGTTATGATTAAAGATAATGTGAACGCTAACTGGTTTTATTTAGATCAATTCATATTAGATCGATTAAAAAAAAATGCTAGTGTGAAAGGGGTCTAAGATCACTTAATCTAAACTTGGTGATATTACATCTGTTTTCAAGTATAGTAGAATTTAGATATGGTTCTATTTTATCATTTTGTTTTAGAGTTTTATATAAAAGAAGTTAAATTACTTCCACATGTATTTATTTTTTGTACTATCTATTTTTTTCAAATTTCTGTTGATAATTTATGATTAAGGAGTTTTGTATAGTGTTACAAATGATCTTGAAAACATAGTCATATTTCTGGATAAGCAAAGTCAGTATTCCCTACAGGATGAAAGAGCATAATTAAGCTATTCTAGTGGGCATGATAGTTTTCTGTATGGCACATAAAATATTCCTTCAGTTTTTATGCTCATTTTAGCCCATTGCTTAAGTGAAAAGTAGTAGTGCTTACCATCCAAATCAAGGTCTTTATTGTCTGTTTTATTAAATAATAAATAACTTGAATTGAATGATAAGCATTATTTTTGTTTCACTGCACTCACTTCATACTAACAACATTATGAGTTTGAATATCCCTTTGGTATCTTTTGCCTCTCTTTCACTGAAGTAATGAGCTAAAATGCTTTACCAGTTCATCAGTTTGTAGAGGTGAATTCAAACTGTAATTGGTCTGAATAAACACAGTAAGAAATAAAAAATATATCCAATAACTTTAATTTTATAGATATCTATCTGTCATACAAAAAATAATTCTTTATTAATAACCCCTAGGGTTGCTTGGTGGTATAGAAATATTGTCATCACTGTATTCGTCTGTCCAACAGTAAAGCACTTGCTGAAGTAAAGCATCAGTGTGGCTGTGAGTAATGTATAAATAAGCAGCCATGTCTGTTCAGGAGTGTACCATTAAATATGATGCCCTGTCCATGCTGTAGGGTGAGTCCCACACTCTCCAGTAGCTGTCCAAATTTCCCACCATCATCCCAGTCATACTAACTTGCAGAATCCTGAATATGCATGAAATATTTGCCACTGACTTTAACCATGCAACAATCAACCAATCAATTCAACATTAACTTTACATTCAAACTTCAAATGAGTCATGTGAGTGCTTATGATATAAATTTTGTAAATTAAACAACATCACTGTATTACCAGGTAAACATTAAGAGATGCATAGAAAATAAGAACGTGTCTTCCGACTTTATTTAAAACAGAAAAACATGTGAATATTCCCAACTTTATTTAAAACAGAAAAACATGTGAATATTCCCAACTTTATTTAAAACAGAAAAACATGTGAATATTCCCAACTTTATTTATAACAGAAAAACATGTGAATATTCCCAACTTTATTTAAAACAGAAAAACATGTGAATATTCCCAATTTATTTAAAACAGAAAAACATGTGAATATTCCCAAATCTATCTATTTGATGCCTGAAAACAACAAACTTGTTTGTGGTCATTTATCACTGTTAAATTTACTGTCAACTCCTATGTATCCAGTAAATGTCCTACTAGGCATACTTCTGTTCTTCTGACTAAGGTGCTATTAAACATGCAAAAGAACATGTTTTGTGCTCTTAAACATGCAAAAGAACATGTTTTGTGCTTTAAAACATGCTAAAGAACATGTTTTGTGCTCTTAAACATGTAAAAGAATGTGTTTTGTGCTCTTAGACATGCAAAAGAACATGTTTTGTGCTTTTAAACATGCAAAAGAATGTGTTTTGTGCTCTTTTACATGCAAAAGAACATGTTTTGTGCTCTTAAACATGCAAAAGAACATGTTTTGAAATATTGTGACAAAGTTTATGTTAACAGTTGTGTTAATTGATGTAGTGTTAAGCTATATTTCTTTGTCAGAAGCTTGACAGTTAAAATTTCTCTTCTTATTATACTACAGTACCCCATAATCTTATCTAACAGATATTTTTCTGTGAAAGAACAGTCTCACTTTGTGAAATGTGGTGTTACAATATCTGT